AAAGCTCCAAATGTTCTATCAGCCAATATGTCATTTTATGGCTGGGCATAATCTAGAGTGGCTGCCAGGAGGGAAGCCAAGCTAGGGACATTCTCACAATGCCAGGACCCGGCTGCGGCCACAGCTGTAGCAGGTGCATAGTGGGGCTCCATTCCCTCATGTAACACACACACACACACACACACACACACAGAGGCAGCTATCACGGCCTCTGCGTTTGACAAGGGAGCTGGGCTCTAAAGCAGAAGCAATGTGCAAGCTCAAGCTGAGCCCCGGCCTCTGAGCCACACTGACAAGACAATGCTCCCACAGAGAGAGAATAGATCTGAGGTTCTAAAATATATCCCACACATAGATGCCATAGCTCCTGAAATGTCAACATTAAAAATCTACTTCTCATGGATAAGATATCAGTTTTAGCAGCTTTTAAAATATGCAGACACACCTCAGAGGGGTAGAGCACTAAGATATTGATCACTATCACTCCAGTGTGAATTAGTACACGAGTTCACTATCTTTCTTATTAGCAACTGTTCCTAGAGAGAGGAAATCACTGGGTATCTTACTGGAGTAAGAGACAGTTAAAAACAGACAGCAAGAAGGACTAATTTAAAGAGGCGGTGGGATTGCCAAAGAGGAACTCGGCCAGCCTCACAATTTTACCCAGGGTCCCCTCTAAAAGGAATACCATTGCAATGACCTGGTAAGAACTCACCGCCAGTGATATTTTGCATTCCTTTCTTATCACTAATAAATTAATATAACGAGAACATCCACAAGGATTCCAGTCCCAGTGTTCTAGTGTTACAATTAAAGAAGACAGAACCTTGATACAATTTAGTCTTTGAAAAGTGGCATAACTCTTAAAAAAAGGAAGTCACATAATGACGCCTGGTCTACTGTGCACAGCCACACTCCATCGGTCCCATGTAACTTAGTGCAGAAAGGTAGTTCAACACATTGAGAATCTCACCCACTCCTTGCTCTGCCTCTTCTCTCATGGCTGGGTTTGTCTCTACCATGGTTTTGCCCATGTTTCATGTGCTGTAGAATGTTCTAGCAACAGTGTTCTGTAATACCACATTATATTTTATTTGAGCTATCAACAGACTCCTTTTTCTCACAAATCCTCTACATACAAGATACCAAGCAAAACAAAAAGGTCTTTGAGCTGACCAAACCGTAATCTGGAGAGCTTTTTCATGTCCAAGTATCCCACATATCTGCTAATTTCAATATTGGAGCAAAAAGATACGATGCAACAATTGAGACAACAGATGGAAAAATTAAACATTAACATTAAAACAACTCTCCCACATGAATAACGGTCAGCGGAGAGGAGAGAAAACCAATTTTCAAAGGTGTCACCAATTTGCAAAATGCCAACACCAAAAGGACAAACCATTAAGCCACATGTTTAAAAGTCTTCACAGGATTTTAGTAATGGTAGAGTGGCTTTTAAAAGACTAACCCTCCCACCACAAACAATTAAAACCTCTAGAAATATATATATATAGTTTTTAAAGATTTTATTCATTTATTTGACAGAGACAGACACAGTGAGAGAGGGAACACAAGCAGGGGGAGTGGGAGGGGGAGAAGCAGGCTTCCCACTGAGCAGGGAGCCCGATGTGGGGCTCGATCCCAGGACCCTGGGACCATGACCTGAGCCGAAGGCAGACGCTTAACGACTGAGCCACCCAGGCACCCCTAGAAATATATTTTAAAACAATTAGTTGAAAACACTGGAGAGCACCCAAAAAAGGACAGAAATTGGAGGGAATCTGACACTTGAAAGAAGGGAATTGCCCTGGTCAAGATCTCCAAAGGTTATATTCCCCAGGCTGCACAGGGTTGAGTGAAAAGAATTCAAGCAGAAAACTACAGTTTTACTGGCTTGAAGAGTGAAATGACAAGATTCAGGACTAACAGATGACTGGAAATTGAGCAGAGAAATCCTGGAAAAGATATGGCCACAGAGAGAAGAATCCCCAAATCTATAAACTCCTCCAATCTGTGCATACACAAGAGAGACTCAGAGAAGTCCACCAAAAGCAGTAACAAGAAGGCTGAGAGAAAGGAGTTGAGATGTCTGCTGTTTCCCACTGTAGGAGAGAGTTTGAAGGCCAAGTCCTACAATGTTAAGAGGGCTTCAAACACCTTAGGCTTTCCACTGAAGCCCCAACTTGGTTATGTCTTATGAACGAACACGATGTCTCAGGACTATGGAATCTGTCCAAAAACTAAGGGGAAAAAGTAAAAAACAAAACAAAACAAAAAAAGCCCACTCTCAAAAGCCTTGACAATTTTAAGGTGATAGCCAGTAATTTAGCTGCCTGCTAGGGAAAAAAAAAGAACAAAGGAGAAAAACCATATGCTCATGTCCATGATAAAGAAAAAGCCTTTGCCAAAATTTAACAGTCACTCTTGATTAAAAAGAAAGAAAGAAAGAAAAGAAAACCCAAACCTATCAGAAAACTAGGACTTAGAATTTCCTTGATTGTGATGAAAAGTATATACAAAGTGCACACAGCTAACATCACACTTACTAGGGAAAGACTAAATTCTTTCCTCCTAAAACTAGTTATGAGACAAGGAGGTCTGTCCTCAAGGCCTCCGGGCACAATAAGACATGAAAAGGAAATAAAAGCCATAAATATTAGAAAAGAAAAAGAAAACTGCCTTATTCACAGACAACATAATTATTTACAGAGAAAATCCTAAGATATCTACAAAAAAAAAAAAAAGAAAAAGAAAAACCTACTAGAATAAATGAAATTTTTTAAGGTCATAGGATGCAAAATCAAGAAAAAATTCACTTCTATATACTGTTACCAATTTCCAAAATAAAAATTTTAAAATGCCATTTATAACAGCAACAAGAGTTTAAAATACTTAGGAATACATTTTTAAAAATATGTGCAAGATCTCTATATTGAAAATTATATAGAATTGCTAGTATTGATATGGATGAAAGCCATTAGAGATCATCTGTAAATGGAGAAATATACCAAGTTTATGGATTTGAAGATGTTCACGATTGTTAAGATGTCAGCTCTCCTCAATTTGATGGATAGATTCAATACAACTTCAATTCAAAATTTAGGTTTTTGTGTGGAAATTGATAGGTTGACTCTAAAATAGACATCAAAATTTAAAATACGGAGAATAGTCAAACAAATAAAAAGAATGCATTTGGAGAACTCTCACTATTTAGCCTTAAGACTTATTACAAAGCAACAGCAATGAAGATGGTGTGGTATTGGCATAAAGATAGACAAATGGATCAACAGAAAATAGACAGTTCATAAATAGATCCACAGTAGGGTCAAGTGATCAGTGACAAAGGTTCCAAGAAAAAAGAAAGTCTTCAAGAAATGGTAGGGAGTAGAACAACTGGATTATAGTATAGGGAAAAGAAATCTCAACCCCTCCACACACAAATATTAATTTAAGAAGGGACACAGACCTAAATATAACATAACACGGACCTAAACATAAAAGCCTGTAATCTTCTAAAAGAAAATAGGACAATATTACTGTGACCCTATGACAGATTTCTTATAGAAGATACAAAATGTATAAACTATGAAAGAAGAGATTGATAAACTGGACTTCAGAGATATTTAAAACTTCTGCTCAAAGACACCATTAAGAAAGTGAAAAGGCAAGACACACACTGGGAGAACGTATTCGCAATACAAATGTCTCACAAAGGATGCTTATCTAGAAAACATAACTATAAATCAGTAATAAAAAGACAAACCAAATTTCAGAAAACAAAAAGACCTGAACTGGCACTTGGGAAGAAAATGACCAATAAGCACATGAAAAAGTATTCAACACCAGGGAAATGCAAATTAAAACCACAAGATATCACTTTATACCCATAAGACTGTCTAAAATTAGAGAGAAAGACCATACCAAGTGTTGGGGAGGATATGGAATAATCGGAATGCTCATATGCTGGTGGGAGTATAAAAATACAACCACTTTAGAAAAACATTTGAGAGTATCTTATAAAGTTGAACATATATTTCCTCTATTACCCAACAACTCCAGGACTACGAATCTACCCAAGAGAAAGGAAAGTGCACGTCGACAAAAATGTATGTATGAGCATGTGTATAGCAGCATTATTCATAATGACTCCAAATGTCCATCAAGAAGAGAATGGGTATGTAATGGAATAGGATGCTGATGCACACAATGACATGAGTGGATCTCACCAAAATTATGCTGTGTGCAAGAAATCAGACACGAGAGAACATACTACATAGTTCCATTTATATGAGCTTCCAGGATAGATAAAACTAATCTACGGTGAAAAAAATAAAACAAAACATCCCATTTATTGCCTCTGGCAGCAGGAGACTGACTGGGAAAGGACACAAGGGAACTTTCAGAGTGGTGGAAATGTTCTTTATCTTGGATCAGGGTGCTGGTGACGTGGTTGCATGCATTTGCCAAAACTCAAATTCCTCACTTCTGGTCTGTTCGTTTCACTGTATATACATTTTACCTCTAATTTTTTTTAAAAAACTAGGCAGTGGGAGGTGGGGGTGGCACCAGGGGAAGAGGAATAGAAGCCCTTAAAGAGCAGGATGAGATAAAGATTATAAGAAAGAGAACATGATCCTTCAATTTTTTAACACATTCAGGACAAACTGAAAAGTTGGCCCCAAAACCAAAAATCTATAATACAATTTGATAGACATGAACAAAAAGAGGCAAGAACCAATTCAGCTAAGATGATGATGAAGAAAATAAAACTCAGTATGTCAAACAAATCATGAGATTGCCAGATTTAGCAAATATATTTAATCTGGCAATCCAAACCAATAGATCATTAGAAACTAAATACCAGCCAACCCAATGTAAAACAATTTTTAAAGCATCTTTTACAAAATGCTCTTTTTATAATTTCCATGTTAGAAATTCCTACTGAGGAGGAACTGAAATTATACTTACACCAGAAACCACCCAAAACTCATCCTTACCTTCAGTGAAGCTCCCTGTTAGGGTTATTACCACAAATACCTTCCCTTCTGGCTCCAGATCCACCTAGAAAGAGAAAAGAATTATGGGTTATATTACAATTTTAAAGTACTTTTTGTGGGCCTCAAATAATGCTTTACAAAGAGGCCTAGCTGTGCAAACCACAGCCATCAATCAGACCTAAGTCTTCCATTCAACAGCAGAGGGGCAAGAAACAAGTGAAAACACAAGAAACTGTAAAGGTGGAAAAGCAAGTCTAAGGAAAACAGTTCTTTCAATGTTTCCCCTTGTCTTGAATTTTATTCTCTTCCATTTTGGCTCTTTGTGGTATTATTGAGAAGCACCTGTAAACTTGGTCATTGTTCCTGAGATATCCCCATCCTACGTCAGAGCAACATTTTATTAAACCACATGGTAGGTAAGGGCTCCTGGGTGGCTCAGCTGGTTAAGCATCCGACTCTTGATTTAGGCTCAGGTCATGATCTCAGGGTCGAGGGATTCAGCCCCTTGGGCCCCTTCCATGCTCAGCAGGAAGTCTACTTGAGATTCTCTCTCTCTCTCTCTCTCCCTTTCCCTCTGCCTCTCTCCCCTTTCTTTCTCTCTCTCTCTCTCTCTCAAATAAGTAAATCTTAAAAAAAATAACCACATGGCAGGTCTATGAAATAGAGAAACAGTGGCAACATACAAGGTAATGAACAAATGTGGCGTGGTCAACTGCAACCTTTCCTTTTAGGAAGCAAAAAGTATGAGAAGAATACTGTCTCCATCTCTACCATTTTCACTTGAGTGTAATTCATCTTCAGCAAGCGCAGGGAAGGCAATTCAGGAGCTCTGCATTCACGACCCTTGCCTGTTCCCAGAGTATCAACATCCCTTAAAGCTCTTATCTATGCACTGAGCTCCTGAGACACCCAGTCTGCAAACTCAGCAGCTTGCCGTCTCCGGGCTCCGTCCTGTCCTGGTGCAGCACGCCTCTAGATTCAGGAAGCACCCTCTAGATCTGCTCTGATCTCACTAGCCCATGTAGACAGACTCTGCCCTCTTCATGTTGGATGCTAACCTTCAACTATCCAAGAACACCACTAAGCCTTGGATCGTGAGGTTCTTTTGGACCCCAATACATGAGTTTACAATTGTCAAAATCTTGTCAGATTCAGCCCCTGGCTCCATTTCTGCCTTTGACCTTTCCTCAAAGAGAGAAAGGTCCAGCGAAGCTGGGTACAGATACAGCTGATCATTTTTGGTAAAATATTACAGTTAAAGAAGATGCAAATCACAACCGTGCCCAACTAGACGAGGACATGGCCTCCAGCCTGACTGCCACAGCTGGCTCTAGACTCTGGGCAAGGTCCTTAACCACCCCAAGCTTCACGCTTCTCATCCAAAAGTCTGTGACATCGCCATTCAGCATTTCTGCCAGGGCTTCCACCACATGAGCTCAGAGAGTCTTGACAGTTTACTGTTTTTACTGTACCCATAGGTGACAAAGACTAGGGAAAAAATGCACTGACCTTCCCCTACCTTACCACCACATATTTTTAATGCCACACCCTGATTACATACTTTTCCAAAATAAAAGATGCCGGCTTCATTCTGACTCAGAAAGCTTTACCTACACAACAGCCTATTCTTATAACCCCCCCATCCCTCTGCACAAAATCTGCTGTCAAGGTGTTAGCACACTGCAGATCACCCCAGTGTTCAAACCAGCTACTGACATCGCGACAACCGCTAAGTTAACAATATCCCCTAAACTGTCTTAATACCACTTGTGAACCTTTATGGAACAGTTCTGAAAATAGAGCTCTCTGGAGAGATGACTAAACAGGATGTCAGTCTCTAATTGTCTCCACTCTCTGCCTTGACTTGTTTCAAGTCAAAAATAAAAGCCACTCCCTCATCTTCAATATAAAGGCCTGGCGGAGAGCACACACAGGCACACACATTCATCCTCACAACATAAGCCATTGCTGGCCAGCCTCCGGACAGACAGATTACCGGGGCCGCCTCCGAGCTCCTCCTGCACACGCCAGCACGGAACCTCCCTCCAACACTGCCCTGCGGGCCCACAAAGAAGGCCACTTCCCCCGACGGGCCGGAGCTGCTCTGGCACCGGCAGAATCCGGAACTCGCACAAGCAGGACAGGTTTGCTTCCTCAGTTTTGACCAGTGCCACCATCACCATGGAAAAGCCAGACTCAAACACCAGCTTCAAGCCTACGCCACCTAACCCCCTGACCTTAGAATAGGGGGTTACAAATGGCAGGTTTGACATTAATTTGACGTGAAAACAACGGAGTTGGGTTGCGCACAACTGGGATTCTGGAAGAGTAAAGATGCACGTGTCACGTAGTAAGGAAAAGTATTCTGTCATGAAACTTCTGCTTGCGGTTTCATATGCATTTTGAGGGTACACTGAGTTTTAGTGTAAAAATGTATTCCTAACTGTGCTACAGAGAAACAGTTTGGAAAACACCGCCTTCCAGATCACCTCCTCCATTTACTCAGCGCTGATGGGCTGTTGGCATCTATTCATAGTGACTGCTTGGACCTCCCCCCCCCCCCCCCCGCCCAACCCCGTGTCAGCCAACTTGCTACCTCCACAGTTGGCCTCGTTCATTCCTGCACTGCATAGAAAGATCTCTCTCTAAAAGCAGAAGTGTACCAACCAATAATTTCCATGCACTGATCCTAGTCTTTCCCCTACAGCTCTGATGGCTATTTTCTTTCCAGCTAGAACATCCATTCCAGCCTCCAGGAACTGCACTTCAGCTCTTATTCGAGAACTACCCCTCCCTTGCAGGTAGTCCCAATGATTCAGCTGGGATTCTGTTCCCAGCTCCACTGGCCACATGACCCAGGCCTTGCCAATCAGTACCCTGAATTCCTCCAGCCACGATGACTAGCCAGGAGCGGACACATGTCCTCTATCCGATCATCTGAGTAATCATTGTTCCCTTCCCACAGTCACTGGCTCAGGTTTGGGCACAAAACCCAAGTAGGTCCAATTAAGAATCCTGGATCTACAAGAAAGAGACAAGATCTCACTTCTGCTGAACTTTCCGGTACTCTTCCTGCCACCACATTGGGCTGGAGAAGGAAGCCAGATAAGAAGAGAAAGCAGAGAGACAGAAAGAGACAAGATCTTGATACCACTTACACTCTGAGATCAAGCCTTGCTTGATTCTTCTGGACTTTTCAGTTATTTGAGCCTGTAAATTCCTTTTGCTTTGGCCAGTGAGTAGGGTGTCCTATCATCGGCACCTAAAGACTTACCCAACTTGGCAGCCAAAGAGGATAAGTCAAATATTTAAAAACAGTTATCGCCTCCCCCCTATACCTTCTAACATCCATGCTGCCACCTACAGCCTGAGCTTCTGCCTCCCTCTGGCATTGAAGCAGCTCCTGCAACCCTTGGCATGTCCCACTGTCAAATCCAAAGATATGTCTGTTTTCATCTCCACTGATTTCTGCGGTTCTGATCCTCACAGCTTCCTTCATCACGAATTTCCTTACTTCCAGGACACCCTCTGCCCTGGTCTTCCTCTCACTCTTTTCTTTCTCTCTCAGGCTCCTTTCCGGCATGTCTCTCTCAATCTCTCTCTCTCTCTTTCTCCCTCCCACAGGTTGCCTTTAAAATCTTGCTAAGTCCTCTTTTTCTTCCATTAAAAGATTCAGCCTTATGATTTCAGCACCAACTTGAGATTCTTTGGGGGCAGCAGTAAGAGAAAGAAACAAACATATCAGAACCTCCAAGAGGGTACAGGCTAAAGACAGGGGGCAGTGTCGTATTCATTTCCTAAGTCTCTAGCACAGACTTCACTCCCAAACCTATATATGCACCTTTTCTGAAGTCTCCACCCCCTTGTCCCACTGAGACAAGTTCCTTTAATTCAATACATCAACATGCCCAGAATCCAAATTCTCATCCTATACTCCCTTAATTGACACCCCACAGTCCTGACTCCACCACTCACCCAGCAGCCCAGGCTCCTCACCACATACATATAATTCTACCAGATCCCATCAAACCCACTTTCTGTGCCTCTCCTAAACCTGCCTCTTCTTCCCTACTCCTACCACCATGCTTCACCTGGCCAACTGCATGGCCTTCTAGCTATTTCCTGTCTCCAGACTCACCCTCTCCCAACTGCTGCCAATGACAGTTTTCAAAAATGAATATCTGACCATGTGACTTCCTAATTTAAAATCCTTCCATGTTTCCCCTCCTTCCACGATAAGGTCCAAACTCCTTAGCCTGGCACATAGCCCTCCATGCTGTGTCCCCACCATGCCAAACATATATACAACCTGTACCCCCAGCCTCTTCGAATTACTTGTAGAATCCCCTGGGAGGCATGTCTTTTCATTTAATCTGAGAGATCAACAAAACGGATTACAGTCAGACAGCATACTGGGGAATATAGTCAAAACTGTGAAAACTACACATTACCTGTCTGACACTTATTGCCCAGGGCCTGGGGGCATGCAATCTTTCTGCCTGGAAAACCCTTTCCTCTCTTTAATTGTCAAACTCCTATTTGTCAATCAAGACTCAACTCAAGTGATGGCCATTAAGGAGGGCATGTGATGTAATGAGCACTGGGTATTATATAAGACTGATGAATCACTGACCTCTACCTCTGAAACCAATAATACATTATATGTTAATTAATTGAATTTAAAGTAAAAAAAAAAAAAGACTCAACTCAAAACTCATCTTTACAGGAAGATCTTCCTAGACCTCTTGAAGCAGTTGGGCAACTCCGCACCATTCTAGAGACCATCGCTGGACTCCATATCATGTTGCAATCATTATGCCCTGTCCCTTAGAATCTTACCTTGAACATAAGAGGACTGAAACAATCATGGAACTAATGAGTAAATAAGTTAACAAATATGGATATCCCAAGCTCTTTCATCAGCTTCATATAGGGCATGGTTTTCTCCTTCCAACATTCTGATCAGTTTCCTCAGATGTGCCCTATTTTCTCTCTTTAATCACAGCCTCCTTTAAGGGCATAGGCCCTTAAAGAGAGACCATCAGCCTGCAGGTATAACCCGAC